CCCCACCTGCCCCGGCCTCCGAAGACTGGAGGGGGCGGGAGAGAGCGGGGGCGGAGGACGCAACCGCCGCGCTGACCAATCACAGCCCGAGGTGCGTTCTTGCGCACGCTCTGATTGGGTCTCCCAGTGACAGACCTTCCTCCAATGGCTGCAGACCCGGAGCGGTCTGTAGGGACTTTCCGCTCCGTCAAGCTCGGTGGAGCCAAAGGGAAAGTGGAGGGGAGGGGAGGGGCCACGGAGGATGAGGGCGGGGATTGGACGGAAGACTCTGGGTTCCGCGTCCCCATTGGCTGACACCTGAGCGGGGGCGGGGCGCCGTGCTTCCCTGGCTCCACCTCCCATGCTCGGGTTCTGGCAGTAGGCTTAGCTGTCAAAACACTTGCAGGCTGAGTTTGGGGCTGTGGGTAGAGAGCAGTCCAGAGGAGGGCTGGGAATGGCATTTCAGGGTTCCGGGGAAAAGCAAAGCTTTGGAATCAAACCGAAGTGTGAATCCTTTGTGCTTTCAATAAGGAGACGCGTGGCAGGGGGAACTCACAACCACGCTGAGCCTCCATGTCCGCATCTGTAAAGTGGAGATCATCCTAACACCTGTCTTGCAAGGAGTGTTGTGAAATGCACAACAGGCGCTCAGTCATGTCAGCCCTCTTCCTGGGACCTGTGCCGTTTCTGAACCCGGGTGGCCACCTCTCCCGGGTGGGAAAGAGTTCTCCTTGAGGTGCTGAGGACAGGGTATCCGCACGCCACCTCACTCAGCTCTGCACCCTCTGGCCACCAGCCAGGACTTGGGGTGTAGTTAAGGATCTCTCAATTACAAGGGAGGTTTGTGATTCCCAAAAGCGCTCAAAATATTTAAGGAAGTGCTTTTTATAATCAGTCCCAGGGCCTTGCAGCATGCTTTGCGGCACTGGATACTCCTGTTAATTAATTCCTTCTCCTTTGACATTCTAAGTACCAATTATAGGAGAAGGTGATTAATAGTGAGGGAGGAAGAGGGGTGTGTGTGTGTGTGTGTGTGTGTGTGTTTAATCGTGAGAGGGGAAATTTCCCCCGTGGAAAGTGATCTCTCTGAAGATCGAGGGGATTGAAACCAGTGAGTACATAAAAGAAGTCACACCTAGCGAGCGGGAGGTCCAGGTGCAGCGGCTTTTACTCGGGCCCCCTGTAGCCTGTCTGACTTGTTTTATCCGGCTCACTCCAAGGGTCAAGGGCAGAAGCCAGGGGGCCAGTGAGGAGACCAATGCAGCCATGGATTCAAGGGACCCCCAAGGAGCCCCTTGTTTCCTGGGGGTGGGGGGGAGCGGTTGAGAGGAGGGGGGGTGTGAGGCTGAAAATGTCAAGAAAGAAGTTGTTACAAGTTTAAAAGAAAAAGTGTGTGGATCTCTTGTCAGAAGGATTTTCAGGGTGGCTGATGGGGGAGCAGCAATGCTTAGGAGATAGGATTTGTGGGTTGTTCTGGAAATGGTGATAGAGGGGATTAAACTTAGAGCCAAAAAGGAGGAAACCAAAGATCTCAGGTTGCCAATCTGCACAGCTGCAGGCCCGCCCCCACGTAATTCTCCAGGGGAAACGGCCCAGGCCGGTCCCCAATGCCGGTCATGACCTTGCCCTTCCCCTAGGACCTGCCAGCCGAGGCCTGAGGCCCTGCGTTCCCTGGTGTGCAGGCTTGCCAGGTGTGTGCCCCAATGGCTGTGCGTTTCGCCCGCTGGGCTGCAGCATCCCGCGTGGGGAGGGAGGCTCCCTCGGACGTGTTGGTGCAATAGTGAAATGACGCTGTGGTCTCAACTCAGCCCGCTTGGAACCCGGTGCTACCGCCCACTCTTCTGGGGGTGTATTCATCGCGGCATCTGTTTTTGGTGCTGTGGCGGGGGGCCACTCAGATTCACTTTTTTTTCGTTCTAGGATGATGGTGAATATGATTAAAGTCTAAAGCTCTTTAAAAAAATTCTCCATCTTGGCCGGCGTGGCTCAGTGGTTGAGCATCAACCTAAGACCCAGGAGTTCCTGGTTTCATTCAGGGTCAGGGCACAGGCCCGGGTTGCAGGCTGGATCCCCATCGGGGGGCGTGCAGGAGGCAGCCGATCCATGGTTCTCTCCCGTCATTGATGTTTCTCTCTCTCTCTCTCTCTCTCTCTCTCTTCCTCTCTCTCTCGCTCCCTTCCTCTCTGAAATCAATAAAAATATATTTTTAAAAAATATATGTTTAAAAAACTCCTGCTCTGCTACCTCGTTGTCTACACGTAAGAATCACGTCTTCTTGGCCACAAGAGGAATCTGCCTGCCCCCGGTAAGCCACTGGCCCCCAGCACACGACTTTCAGGTAACCTCCCCATCCGAGAAGTCTAAGGTGAAGGGTCCTCCCTCATGAGCTACCTGCACGGGCCCAGAACGCTGTGCGTGGACCTGCATGATTTTTCAAAGTTAGGAACCTTCTACTCGGAGCCCTGACAGCAATCGCACACCCGGTTCTCCGGACCCGTCTTACCTGAGCCCTCTCCGGCTCCTCTTTCTCCACAGTCTCCCCCGGGGTCACGCCCTCCAGGCCCAAGGTCCCCTCGCCCCTCTTGATGCTGAGCACGCCCCGGCTGTCCTTCGTGGCCGTGACCTCTCCCACAGGGTCCAGACCTGCACGTGACCTGAGGTCTTCACCTGACCTCTCCCCTCGGGTGTCTCAGACTTGACAGCTCCAAGCGCAAGTTCCGCCTACTTCCATGTTTGAGACCTGTGGCCTCCTGTCTCCCAGTCCAAAACCTAGGAGTCATCTGGATTCCTCCCTTTCCCTCCTCCTCCTCCTCATCCAATCCATTTGTAAACCCTTGGCCGTCTAACCTCTGAAATCCATCTCCTCTCCATCCCCACGGAGGCCACCTCCGGCGGGCCCACCACCGCTTACCTGCAATAGCTCCCAGGCGGTCTCCCCACTTCCTCTCCCCCTCGCTCCCAGCCCCTTCTCCATCCAGGGGCAACGGAGGTCCTCTTTAAATATCACTGGGTCACTTCTCCCCTGCTTAGAACTCTCCAATGGCCTGCCGTTATTCTAAGATCAAGCCCCAGCTCCTGACCTTGGCCAGCGAGGTCCTTCGCGACTGGTCTTACCTACCTCTTTAATCCCATCTAGCTACACTCCCCCTTCAGCTCGTCTCAGACATACGGTGTGAGTTGCCTGTGGCTGCTGCAACAGATTGCCACGAACTCGGTGGCTTAACATGGCACGGATTTATTCTCTTGCAGTCCCGGAGGCCACAGTCCCGGAGGCCACAGTCCCGGAGGCCACAGTCCCAAAAGGGTGGCAAGGCTGGACGTGCCCAGCGATTCCAGGGACAAGTGTGTCCTGGCCTTTTCCGGCCTCTAGAGCTGCATCCCTCGGCCCAGGGTCCCTTCCTCCACCTTCAAGGCCAGCCGGGGAGCATCTTACGTCAGCGGCCACACTGCCTTGTTCTCGTGGGTCAGACTCCCTTGGCCTCTCTCTCTGGCTGCGTTTGGGGGTCTGTCCAGATCGTCCAGATCATCCAAGAGGCTTTCCTCATCGCAAGACCCCTAACTTCATCGCATCGTTACAGTCCCGTTCGCCATCTAAGCAACATTCACGTGTCCCGGGATTAGGACCTTCAGGGGCCTTTACTCAGCCAACCACACATACCAAGCTCCTTCCCACGACAGGGTCTCTGTACTGCTTGTCGCCTGGTCACCTGTTCCCTGCCTCTCCCTCCCCCTCCCCCCTCCTCCCCACAACTGCCTGGGAGACGGGAATCGTGTCTCTTTTGTCCACCCACCGATCGTCCCAACATGCCTGGCTGGTATGATTGCAAACTGAAATGAGGGAAGATGCATTGGCCCTGCTCTCCCTACCTGGGGGGGAGAGGGGAGGAGGAGGACACTCAGATTCACTGGTGTTTCCCAGTGGTTAGAGCATCAGCTCACACCCCAAAAGGTCACGGGCTCAATTCCAGGTCAAGGGCCTATACCTCCATCCCAGGCCCCGGTTGGGGTGTGTGCAGGAGGCAACCAATCGATGTGTCTCTCTCACATGGATGTTTCTCTCTTCCTCCCTCCCTTCCTCCTTCCCTCCCTCTCTCTCTAAGAAAAATCCGTGGAAAAAATATCCTCGGGTGAGGATTAACAACAAAAGAAAAGCAGGAAGATGCATTCACAATCCAAGATGCGTGAAGAGGCTGCGGTGTGCACTGGTCCAGAGAAAGCAGGCCCACCTTCTCTCCCTCCTGGTCTCTGTCAGCAACCATGGTCTGGACAGAGCCACGGCCACCCGCCAAGAGAACCCGTGACACGCTCACACACAGGAGCCCCGCGGGATGCTGCCGGACTAACGAGCCAGGCACACGGGACCTTTCAAAGGAGCGGGTTTCTCATTGGTGAGCAGCCACCTGCGCCCCTGCTCATTAAATGCAGCTCAGAATTCTTCCCCCTCGGCCCACCCGGGCGGATGCTGGCAAAGAACTGCTGTTCCCAGTCGTCTCCTTCCTTCTCCGGTTAAAAGGCAGCCGGAGCCACGTGGAGGGGGGCCCGGGGGCCTTTCACCGGGGCCCCCAGAGGGTCCGGCACAGCTCAGCACGTCACGCCGGGTTAGGCTCTGCCAGGCCGGAGCCCAGTCTGTTTGGATGGCAAGTCTGTTTGGATGGCAAGGCTGTTTCTAAGACTTGCTTTCGCCTTCGGCAATAACTTACCTGGTCGGAAACATAGCGTTGTTTGATCCTTGACAAGCTGCAGGGACAGGACAAAAAACACGTTCGGTCGCGACGAAGACAGCTTGGGGGGAAACCAGAGTTCTCTCATGCGTCTTTTTTTAATAAAAATATAAACTTGGGAGAATAAAATAAAGAGGTTTATAAATAGTAACCAGTTTCCACGAGCAACGCTGTTGAGCATAATCCCACGGGCACGGCACCTGCCGGTTCACAAAGGCTCTGTGCGCACTTCGGGAAACCCCGGAGAGCGTCGGCTCGGTGAGGAAGGGGCTCTGGTGTTGCTTCTGTAAACTTTTCATCCGCGACTTTACATCCCGGAGCATCTGGCAAAAACCAATGGCCTCGCCCAGCCGGTGTGGCTCAGTGGTTGAGCGCTGACCCAGGAACCAAGAGGTCACCAGTTCCATTCCCAGGCAGGCACATGTCCCATTGCGCTGTGCCCCCAGTAGGGGGCGTGCAAGAGGCAGCCAATGAATGATTCTCATCATTGATGTTTCTCTCTCTCTCTCCCTCTTCCTTCCTCTCTGAAATCAATTATTTTAAAAATCAATCATCTCTTAGGAGGATAGTTGGGAGTCTGATGTCGAGTCCAGCTCACAGGCAGCCCCCAGAGGGAGACCTGGGGAGGGCGTTCCAAATCCTGGCGCGGACGGATCCTTTCAAAGCTGCCTCCGGATGGCGAGGTGATGCCACCGGCTTCCCTGGAGGAACTGACGTCACAGGAAATGAAAGTCCACGTGTGGCACCAGCTGCTGTGTGGTCACATTCTTCTCGCAGATCTAGACGATCCCGGGGACCCAATAGCTGTCATGTGTCCCCTCCATTAACGTCTTAAGGACCAGAGAGAAGAGCAGGGCGAATGGCAGCCCCTCCCATGGTGGGGCCGGGAGGTGTGGATAGCAAAGCGGAGGACACTGACTCCGCAGCCCTCAGCCCCAGAGGAAATGCCACGTGTGCGTCCAGGGTGGCTGGGGGGGACCGGATGGGGGAGCAGCCTGGGTGGTTGACCCACAGCAGAAAGTTCCTTCCTGCCCAGCCCTCATGACTCAGGGGTTGAGTGTCGACCTAGGAACCAGGAGGTCACGATTCGAATCCCCGTCAGGGCACAGGCCCAGGTTGTGGGCTCGATCCCCAGTGTGGGGCGTGCAGGAGGCAGCCGATCCATGATTCTCTCTCATCATTGATGCTTCTATCTCTCTCTCCCTTCCTTTCTCTTTAATCAACAACAACATATACCAAAAAAGAGAGTTTCTCCCTGAACGCCCCCCCGGCCCCCCATTGTGAGAGGCGTGGGAAGGGGCATCTCACGGGGATCCAGGTCCCCACCACTAGGCTCTCGGTAGCCTTCGTGGGCCCCCTGACGCGCTGCATCCGCCAGAGGCCGCCCCACCACACGGAGGGGCTGCTCCTCTCTGCAGCCACGAAGCGTGGGAAGAACTCGGTGGCCCACGGGGACCGTGGAGACGTCCACTCCGAGGGCACTGATGCCCCTTCTGTGCCAGAACAGAGGTCGCTGCTGAGCTGGCCTGGGCAGACAGGGCTCCCTCCGGATGGGCGGGCGGGCGGCTGCAGGTGTCATCCAGCCCCTGGGGCCCGGCCCGGCTGCTCTCACACACACCGAGGGGATCCTCGGGCCGGAGACGTCACAGCAGGAGCCTGGCGTCCCTGTGGCCCCGCGTCTCCATTTCCTCCGGAGAGAAGGCGTTTCCCCGGAGCCTTCGGGGGACAAAGCAAAGAGAGGGCGGAGTGAGGACGGAACCCGGCATCGCTTTCCCACGACGGAAGCGGAACCCCTAAAGCCATGGCCTGCCCATGCGGCCCCACAGCCTCCGGTGGGCACCCTCTTCCCACTGCCCAGCATCACGCGAGGGCGTCGCGCCACAACCGCTGGCCCCGGAGAAGATCGCATTCAGAGTGCGGCTTCCACTGAACGCCTGTCGCGTTTGCACCGTCGTGAAGTCAAAAAATCATGTCGAGCCGTTGTAAGGTGGGGCCCGTCTGTATTTTACAACTAGGAGATTCCCCCCTAAAAGTCTATACTTCAGGGTTTTTAAATAAAATAAACTTTTTTTTAAAGCTGGTAACGCTGGCTCCCGGGGAGGGAAGCCTGCTGGTTTTGCCCCGTGTCGGCCGGGGC